ACATAATCAGGACCACTTCTCCAATCCTAACCGGGCAAGAGATCTGAAATCAATAGCTGCCTTAAACAATATCTCAAACTTACTATTAGGCAGAGAAGTGGCTTACGGTAAACATTAAATAAAATGTTAAAGCCGCCCTTCACTACATGAGCACTGCTCCCTTTAAGAGAGCTGTTTTGAGCCACCCCACTAAAAACACAGCCTTAACCAAAGTCTGGACGTGGTTCATTTACTTTAAAGATAAATCACTCGTTTCAGATAATCCATCTAAATAGTAAATGCCCTTTACTTTACTCAAAACAACCAGGAATCTAAAAATTCAGTTTACTCTGAGTAAGGGAAGCACATTAGACAATGTTAAGGATTAACTACAGAGTATTTAAAAGAGTAATTTCAAACTGCAACCATCTCTGAAATTACTTACACAGGTATTAGACAGTCAATCTCAGCATCCAGTAGGCTTTCCACTAAACAGACCACAATTCTACTATGCTTAGCATCTCAACTCAGAACAATTTCTTGGTCCCTTATGCATCCCATGATCTACGCTTATACATTTTGCACACTCTTCATTTTTAAAATGCATCTCAAAACCTATTGATTTTTCTGATGGGTCACTATTTTGGAAGATCAGCATGAACAGAAACTATTTTAAGTTAACTGCAATTTGTCACTTCTTTCAATACAAACCTGCTTAACTCTGTCTTTTCTATCGTGACCCAAATTATCTTCCAAGACTTAGAAAAGTACATATAAGACGAAAAATTCCTTTCTAAATATCAATTCCGTCGCCATCAGGAAACGTCAAAAACTTTGTCTTTTTAAAAATAAAAACGTCAACTCTCTAAAAACTTCAGTACCTCAAAGGAAGGCTGCACTGTTAACACTGAAGGAGGGCTGGGTGATTTCTGAGTATCTGCATTAAAGAAATATGCTCTTCAAACCTAGTAATTGCTGACGAGGCCACACCTTCTAACCTTCCCGTAATCCACGAATCACATCGGGAGCAATCTAGAAACTGCTCCCAGCCCAAGTAAAATGACAGGTATGTCATCCTCAAACGACCCAAAACCGGGTCGGGGAGCCCAGACGGCTACCGGGGCCCAGGCTGCCCCCCCCCCCCGCCCCGGCGCTCCTGGAAGAGCCACTCTAAGCTAAAGGAAACACACCTCCCGCGCGAGCCTCTTCCTTCCTAGAGGGACGGGGAAGGGACACCCGGGGCGGAAACACACCCAAACCCCACTTCAAATCTGCCCCACCGGCTTCTCCTTCCAAAACAGCCGGCGCCCACTGTCAGCCGCCGGGCGATTCGGGGCGCCGGGAGAGAAGAGCGAAGGCGAAAGCGAACTTGGGCGGTTACTCCGGGCGTCTCCCTCCCCCAGCGGAAACCTGGGCCGCGCCGTTTCCTCACGGACGCGAGATTTTCCCCCAAAATCGCCCACCCCGCCCGCCCGGGGCGCCCTCGCCCACCCGTCCCCTTCAGCCCAGCCCAGGGCAACCGGCCCAGGCCAGCGCCGACAAGCCAGCCAATGTACCACGCACACAGACACCACCCGCCGGGCGCCAGGGCACACGCCAAGGAAGAATCGGGACCACTCAACCAATACCGATCGCGCGTACCCTCTAGCAAGAAGTTACCATCATAGGAGACAAGCGAGAAGGTCTGCGCGAGGAAAGAGAGAAGAAGGCCCGGTCATGCGCCACCGGGCCCGGCGCGACGCCCCCACCGCCGCCTCCCGCCGGCGGCGCCTCCCCGCGCCGGACCCACGCGGCGCCGCTGCCCGGCCGCACTCAGGGCGGCGGCGGAGGGCGGTGGGCGCGAGGAGGCCGCCGCGCCGCCGGAGAGACAGGGCCACGTACCCGCCATCTTGGGTCGCCCCCTCTCCCGCGGCCGCCCGGGGACCGGGGTACCATGGAGCGGCGCGAGCCGGAGAGCGGTGGACGCGCGCGGGAGGGCGGCGGGGAGGAAGGAGGCGCCGGGC